TACCAGGTAATTTGACTGGGGATATGCATTTGTAATTACTCGAAGATACCGGTGATCCAACGTTAACGGACATAATAGAAAACGATAACCGATACCTTGAGGATCACTTAATAATCCAACAAGACGGAGCTCCTCCACATTTTGCTGTAGCGGTTCGTCAGTACCTGGATGAAAGATTTCACAGACACTGGATTTGAAGAAGAGGATGCATTGAATGGCCCCCGCGATCTACAGATTTATCCCCCTTAGATTACTTTTTGTGGGGCCATTTAAAAAGTAAAATATACGCCACTCAGCCAGGTTCGTTAGCAGAGTTACGTCAACGTATTATTACCAAATGTCGTCAAATAACCCCAGACATGCTCCAAAACGTCAGGCAACGTTTTGAGACGAACTTATACTCATGTATGGCAGTGAATGGAGAACACTTCGAGCATATACTATGAATCAATGTAGTTTGGAGTGATCTTAGTTAAATTTATGCACAATTTTCCAATTTTCAAGTTATGTAGATTTTTCAATTTTTGTTTTTTTTCGTGAATTGTTCACATTACTTTTCAAATGAAATGTGAATTGAAAAACGAAACAGTTTTTTTTCCTGCAATAGAGCGCCAAAATGAAAAATTAAGTAGCGAACACTCACATGTCTGAATTCCTCATGGAATTACCGTTTCAATGCTGTGTCACCCTCAGTACTTTCCCTAATCAAATTGTATGAGTGACCAAGGGGTGGGGAGAGAAGTATGACAATTGAGGTGACGATAGGATTTGTCCCCCTTGGATTTATAATTGACGTGTTTTCACATTATGTTCACAACACATGTGTTTTGAAGAATTCGTTTTCGGTGTTAGGTTAATTCGAACCATAATTACAAATTTCGTCCGCCATTTTGGAGCCACCATCTTGATTTTTTCCATTGAAAAACAATTCATAATTTCCGACCCTGAAAACCTATACTTATCAATTTTGAATCAAATCGGACTATAATGGCAAATCTTGTCCGCCATTGTGAAGCCGGCATCTTGTTTTTTCCCTAGAAAAACTCCATAATGCATTGTCACCGAATTTATGTCAAATTAGCTTGCGAATGAAGTATCAAGTTAGATAGCTAAAATTGGCATGGCTGAATTCCTTATGAAATTACCTTTTTAACGATGTATCACACTTACTACTTTCCCTATTCAAATTGTTTGGGTGATAGTCACCGAGGGGTGGGGGAAGAGGTATGACAGTTGAGGTTATGATAGAAAGGTGTCCCCCTTGGATTACAAATCGACGTGTTTTTGCATTTTTTTGAGAACACATGTGTTTTGAAGATATTCGATCTGTTTCGTTTTCGGTGCCCCACCATGTATTTTGAAATTACCAGGGTACCGATAAATCATGCAACATTAGATCCATCATACTTTTGATTGTTAGTCGCACTAGTTTTTGCTTTTCAATTGGAGTTTTGCTTTATGGAAAGCTCCAAAAGTTATTGATGGCTTAAATGGTACAGCAATTGATTATGGGTTATTATTCCAAGGCATGAAACTAAGAAAAATGTTATTTAAATATTTCAGAAGAATACATCTAAAACAAGTACTTTTCCCAATCGCCAGATATGCTATACTTTTCTCGTCATGCGTTGAAAACATAGAGATGAAGAAAATTCTTCATCTTCTAAAGATTCCTTCTTCATTGGCGTATTTTTTGCAGCGAGCATTCTTTTGAGGTTTGGGAATAGGAATACGTCGCTGAGGTAGAGATCTGGAGAATACGGTGGATGCGGAATCAATTCGAAGCCCAATTCATGCAATTTTGCCATCGTTTTCGGTGATTTGTGACCCGGGCATTGTCACTTCCTTTTTCTTCAAATGAGGCGTTTTTCTGCTATTTCGTCCTTCAGGCGCTCCAATAACGATATGTAATAGGCGCTGTTGATAATTTTTTCCTTTTCAAGATAGTCGATGAATATTGAACCATGCGCATTCCAAAATACTGATACCATAACATTGCCAGCCGATTGTTGCGTATTTGCATGCTTTGGAGTTGTTTCACTACATGCAGTCCACTGAGATGACGATCGTTTTAATTCTGGTGTGAAATGATGGAGCCATGTTTCATCCAATGTCACATATCGACGCAAAAATTCGGGTTTTTCATGGTGGAACAGATCAAAACTCTCCTCAGAATCATCAATTCGTTGTTGTTTATGGTCGATTGGGCACCCACTTTGTACATTCTCAAATATTCATGCCCGATATTTATCGCCTCACTCGATCGCTTCGCGTACCGCACTGTAACTTCCACTTGACTGTCGATATGCTCGTGGCTAGCGTTTATATATGGTAATCGAATGCGGTAGAACATTTCGCCGGAATTCCTTTGAAATCGGTAGCATTATTCTCGCTGCATCTAGAGCGGCAGCGAACATCGTGAATTCGCGCGCTCCTAGCTACGTCACAATTGGTTTATAGCGGCCGGTGTTATTTTCTTTAGAGCATGATTTACAACAATATGTACCGCTCTTGGTGGAATCAAATATGCCAAGTCACTTGAACACCTCCCGTGAAAGTATCTATAGAAGAGAGACAAATCTCCAACCTTTTTTCGAAGTTCCAGGCTATCAAGGTTGTAAGTGATGTTCGCGTCTCCAATCAGGCGGATGGCTCTTTTCTGGATGGAATCCAGCAGCTTCAGGGTATGCTTAGGGGCGAAGCTCCATACATGATAACAATACTCCAAAGAAGTTCTGATCTGAGCTTTATAAAGCATCAAAAGTTGCTGAGGTGTGTAAAGTTTTCTGGTTCTGAACAGTGTTGAATGTCAATGAATATAAAATGGTTTGTAATGGAATTTTCTTTAAATTGAGGTTAATTTTTTGACAAAGAATGGATTTGGCTCACTACTTCTTCCAAAGAAATATTCTTATCATCTAGAATAGTAACCCCCCGAAGTTTTCAAGAGTTTTTATCGAATTTTCTGGAGAATATATTCAAGTATCACTTTATTATGAGATTTTCCACTGGAGAGTTACGGAACAGCAACACGTGTTTCGCTAAACAATACCTTTCTCAGGCATGTCCATACTGACTGAAGCCTACCTAATTAGTGCTTTTCACAATACAAATTTGGATCATACGATCTTCTACCTGAATAATGACTGATAATTTCATCAGAGTTCAGGAATAAACTATTTACAAATTTTCAAAAATTATGAAAGAAACTTACAATCGATAGTTTGAAAGTTTCAGGAAAGACACCCTTTTCTAATGATTTATTGATAATAAATGTTAGTGGTAGTACAATGGCGTCGCACATTGATAAATGTGGATTTAAAATTGACGTGTTTTTACATTATGTTCACAACACATGTGTTTTGAAGAAGTCGTTTTCGGTGTCAGGTTAATTCGAACCATAATTACAGATTTCGTCCGCCATTTTGGAGCCACCATCTTGATTTTTTGCATTGAAAAACAATTCATAATTTCCGACCCTGAAAACCACCACTCATCAATTTTGAATCAAATCGGACCATTATTGCAAATCTTGTTCGCCATTGTGAAGCCGCCATCTTGTTTTTTCCCCTAGAAAAACCCCATAATGCATTGTCACCGAATTTATGTCAAATTAGCTTGCGAATGAAGTATCAAGTTAGGTAGCTAAAATTGACATGACTGAATTCCTTATGAAATTACCTTTTTAACGATGTATCACACTTACTACTTTCCCTATTCAAATTGTTTGGGTGATGTCACCGAGGGGTGGGGGAAGAGGTATGACAGTTGAGGTTATGATAGAAAGGTGTCCCCCTTGGGTTACAAATCGACGTGTTTTTGCATTTTTTCCAGAACACATGTGTTTTGAAGATATTCTACTTTTCTCGTCACGCGTCGAAAACATAGAGATGAAGAAAATTCTTCATCTTCTGAAGATTACCTTTTCATTGGCGTGATTTTTTTTCCAGTGAGCATTATTTTGAGGTTTGGAAATAGGAATACGTCGCTGAGGTGCAAATCTGGAGAATACGCTGGATGCGGAAGCAATTCAAAGCCCAATTCATGCAATTTTGCCATCATTTTCTGTGATTTGTGACCCGGGCATTGTCACTTCCTTTTCCTTCAAATGAGGCGTTTTTCTGCTATTACGTCCATCAGGTGCTCCAATAACGATATGTAATAGGCGCTGTTGATAATTTGTTCCTTTTCAAGATAGTCGATGAATATTGAACCAGGCGCATTCCAAAATACTGATACCATAACATTGCCAGCCGATTGTTGCGTCTTTGCACGCTTTGGGGTCGGTTCACCAGGTGCAGTCCACTGAGATGACTATCGTTTTAATTCTGGTGTGAAATGATGGAGCTATGTTTCATCCAATGTCACATATCGACGCAAAAATTCGAGTTTTTTATGGTGGAACAGCTCCAAACTCTGCTAAGAATCATCAATTCGTTTTTGTTTATGGTCGATTGGGCACCCACTCTGTACATTCTCAAATATTCATGCCTGATATGTCCAAATATTTCTTTGATATCTTTAGGGCCTCAACTATCGCGATCAACTTCACTTTGCGGTCATCCAAAATTATTTTATGGACTTTTTTGATGTTTTCGTCGGTTATGTCTTTGGTAATGACAGTTAGAGTAATGGTTGTAGATTTATTCCTTACCAGTCCACAGTGAAAGCACAATTGTAGAATTTTTTTCTGATGGACTTGACCGTTATGTGATGTAGATCCATAGTAATTTCGCAAACGATTTGATCTTCACGAGGTTTGTGAAGATCAAATCGTTTCCGGTGTAGTGTGTGAAACAATAGTAGACTATGTAATGTATCATATTCGAAACGAATGACGACCATTTAACCAAAAAATACGACAAATGCAATCAATCATGACCGGAAAAACATCACTTTACTACGAAGCTATCAAGAAGTATCCGAAGCACTATCATAAAAGGTGAAATAAGTTTGAATTTCCATGAACGTGTGTTTTTCTGAAAGAAAAAAAGATTTACCATTTCAATTGATTTCTATCGATGTTCCTCTTCCCATACAGCCTAGCCCCGGAAAATTCAGGGATCCGTTTTCCACAAAGTCTCCCGCCGAAGCAGTCTGACGATCTCTTGCCATATCCTCTGGCAGTGAAGAGGTCCATGTCTTGGAATGCCCTCTGGGAGATTTTCCTCGTAGACCTCAGAGGTTGGTGAAGAAACAGGCGTCTCGATTTTTCTGGTGACATATAACTTCTTCTATTTTCTACGGAGGATTGGGCGCTTGCCAGAATGTGCCACAAAAATATTAACGTAAAAAATAACGCAACGTGATGGAACGCCATGCTGGAAAGAAAAGGAGGAGTTAGTGCGTTGAAATATAATAATAATAATATTGTCTTTATCATTTCATAAACAATAAAACTCAACATAACTTATATATTAGAACTAGCAAGTTCATCAACAATAATGTAGGAATGCTAAACCATCTCCAATTCAGTAAAACTACGTGCAATGAATCGCTTGAAGACATCCTTTGAGAAAGACACAAATGTAATTTGTATAGTCTTGACTGAATCGAAGCTGGACTAGATAACGTATGTACGAGAGAGAATTACGTATGTACGTGACACCTGTTGGATATAATCCAACACCCTTCGTGGTATTAATCAGGGGAGTAGTAGTGCAAATTTTAAATTTCGGATAAGCGGATTTTTTAACGAATTGTCGTTGAAACAGACAGAAGAGAAGTGTCTCTTTCGGTGACAAACAGTCGTAAGGTTCTGAGGATAGGTCTTCGTCCGAAACTTTAAAGTACACCAGGGAATTGGTAGTTTTTCATGTGGATGAAATTTTTTATCAATACTATATGCCACAATGTACGCAGTCTGTTCAAAAAATAAAGGGAGTTTACATTTTTCTCAAGAAATATTCATTTATTCATCAATTTTCATTCTGTCTCCTCCAAAGCAGTCCCCATCAGATTCAGAGTTGGGTAGTATCCGAATTCTTCTGTATTCGGATACAGTATCCGTATACTTTAAATGTATTCGAAAGCTGTGTTCGGATATTTTTCAAATTTTGTATTCAGTATCCGTATCCGTGGCCAAATTCGTCAGTATCCGAATACTGAATACTTTTTTCGATCTTCGGATACTTTTAAATTATTCGATGACTGAGAACCAGACCAAACAGCCCCATTTTATTCAGGCGTATCTTGTCGCATTTTGTCGGGCATCTTCGAAAACGGTGAAATACAATTTTAGCACTTTGCCACCTCGAAAAATGAGTTATTAGAGTGCCTCATATATCAAAAATGTGCAGTANAAGTATACTGTGTTTACAAATAATACGGGGTAGCAATTGGCTGCGCTAATGACAGTTTAATTTGCAAAAAATGAGTAAGGCAATTATCTATCTGAATATTCAACTAGTCCAGTCTTCCCACCCCTTTCCTGTGAGCTCGAGATATAGGGAACTTTTTCGCTAAGGGGTAGTTTTCTAATAGAGCGACCAAATTTTGAAATTCTGCAGAAAAAAATGATTCCTGAGACTTACAACCTTCAAAAATTATAGAGTTTTCTCTTACGTGTGAACCTGAACGTCACATTCAGATTTATATTCGTGATCGGTGGCTCAAGAGTACCAGCCATATTTTTCAAAAATGAAGTCCTTGAAATGAATTATTTTTGTTTTCACTTCAATTCCATTTAAAAATTCGTAAAAAATAGAAAGCAAAAGTAATGAAAATGTTACAAACTGAAATAATATAAAAAAATTAATTGACTAAATCGAAATTGAGTTTAAAGCGTAGTTCACGCTACAGAAAATCATAGTTTAATTGAAATTCCAAATTATATTTCATTATTTGATAAGTAGGATAAAGAATTTGTTTGAAGGTGGTTGACAATGTTTCGTGGTGTATTTCATCAGTTCGGACTTCCATTGTCTAATATAATATAAAGTTCCTAAGTTGCCGAATTTTGACTAAAAAAAACCGTCGCATTAGCATCGCTCAAGAATTGTTGACTAACGTCAACGGCTAAATTTGTTTGAAAGAGTCATAACTGATGACGAATCATGACTATATAGTTATGACATCGAAACTAAAGTCCAATGGACGAGTCCACGGTAATCATGCCTTAGCCACCGTATTCCCCAGATTTGACCCCCCTGCGACTTTTCCCTGTTCTTCAGACTGAAAGGATCCATAAAAGGACGTTATTTTGCTACAATTGAAAAAATATTTCTGAAATATCCAGAATTTCTGTTTGTGAAACCTAGAATCCATAATAACACGTCTTCAGAATTAGAATGTTTCTAGTTGTCAATTTTTAGTTGTAGAACAGAACTGAACGTGAATAATATTTGCTAACATTTTATAAAATTGAGAGGTACCTCCTAAATCTTGAGATGTACATTTTAAACATCATTGAGGTCAGTAAGATCGACGAAATCTTCCCTTGCCACGAAGACGCCATCTATTGGATCGACAGAGAACTCCTTTTTTTAAGGACAAAACACAAGCACTACAGGAAAATCCTTAAGGCGCTCTCAGAGAGGTGCCTGCGCGAAAGTAGCGATTCACATTGGATTTGAGTCGCTGTTTATTACACATAAACTCCGTTCTCCAGAGGAAAGAGTTTTTAAATAGTGAAGTTCGAGGTGTACTGAGTTGACGCTCAAAGCGGTGAGCAGCCACAGTTCGTCGTCTATTTCTGATATGTACCGCTCTTGGTGGAATCAAATGTGCCAAGGCACTTGAACACTTTCCGGGAAATTATCTATAGAAGAGAGACAAATCTTCGACTTTTCTTTGATGCTCCAATTCATCAAGGTTGCACGTGAAGTTATCGTCTCCAATCAGGCGGATCACTCTTTTCTGGATGTAATTCAGCAACTTCAGGGTATCTTTGGGGGCAGAGCTTCATACATCAGAACAATACTCGAAAAAAATCTGATCTGAGCTTTATGAAGCATCAAAAGCTGTTGAGTCCAGTGGTTCGGAACAGTGCTCCAAGCTTTTGGGGAGCAGCCTTTGCAATTCTAGCGACATGATTGTGCCAAGACATATTGGTGTCCATTTCGCGGGAATCAAAGATAAATGAGGCTCATCAAGGGGTCAGTTGCATGGCCAAGCTTCAACATCGACTGCCGACAAGATTCGTCCTCTATCCATCACTCCAGCTGTCACTGCAACGCAATTAGTTGAAAACCAGAGCCCAAACATAACACATATATAATTCGACACCAGACAGGGCTGTTTCGACCCGCCTTAGGTATCAGCAGTCGAGCGTTGCTGGACTCAACTGTCCTTAAAGGACAACCCTGAAAAAGTAAAGTCGAAAACATCCTCCCTCACAAAGACGCCATGTGTGGAATTGATAGAGATCTCAATTCTCAGATATCAAAGTTGTTAACATAATTGCGTTGTCTTTGGGCACTGGTTCTAGTTGCCTTACAGTGAACTCTACAGTAAAAGACAGAGGACGTATGTCGTCGACAGTTGATGTCATAGCTTGGCTTTGTGTGTGATCGCCTTGAAAAGTTCTCGTTTATCATTGACATCCGAGAAATCAGTTCTCGAAACCAGAAAAGAAATTTCTGGCAAAAACATAACAATCTACACTGATAGTAGACAAGCCCTATTAGCCCTGAACAGACAACGTGCTACCTCAGGGCTAGTACTATAGTGCCACCAAGATTTAGCCAAAGCCTCGTTAGATAATAACATAGCCGCATTGCCGGCTCTTTAGACAAGAAAGCGACTGGACTAAGAATTTTAGGACCCAGTGACACCTATGGCCTGATGACTTTGACAATTACAGAACTAGCCAAACGTCACACCCATGCTCAATCCCTGAAGAGCTGGGATGAAATCAAAGGATGCAATCTTGCCAGGATCACCCTGGGTGACCCTGGAAAGCTGACGCTGAAGAAATATCTGGCGATGACCAGGAAAATTCTACGCCTCACAGTAGGATTTCTGGCTGGCCAATGTCAACTAAAGAAAAACCTCCTTAATATGAGGCTAGTGGACACACCTCTATGCAGGGAGATGAAACTGTCAGGCATGGCCTATGTGAGTGTCCGGAGTTATCGTCAATAAGAGAGTGTGTGTGTTCGGCGAGTCTTGGCCTACACCTGCCTATATAAAGAAAATGTCTCCCAGTGACCTGTCCACCTTCCTGGAAAGGACAGGATGGACGATGACCTAGCAGGACAACTCCTCGGGAGGATGTACAATGGGTCACATGTGGGGGCCTACACTCACCCACCCCACTCTACAGATACAGATACAGAATTAGTTCTCGATCCCATAGATATCGTTTTCCTAATGGCAGATGTCCCTTTATTTACTCAGATTTGTCCTTTAAGGATAGTCAAGTCCAGTAATGTAATCGTTGTTCAGACGACCATCACTGATGAGACCTATGGCGGTTCGAAACTGCGGTGTCTGGTGTTGAATCAATAATGCTTTGTATTCGGGCTCTGGTTTTCGAAATAATTGAGGTCCTTCAAAAATCTAATGGGACGCAAAATCGTCATAACATTCGTACAGTAAAATACTGATACTGAAAATATTTTTATCACTCAAAGAGATACTTGAAAGAAATGGTCCCAAATGTGGCACACCCGAAGTGGCACTTCTTATAGGTCTCCTCATAGTTGTGGCAATATCTCCGTTTGTTTTGAAGTTAGTGGGTGAGGAGTCCTATAGGGGTCCTAGAGGAGTTACATTGAAAGTCTAAGTTACTGAGCGTCACTAATAATAGACTTTTTCAAACGTTTTCGAAAAGTCGCACAATTCAGCCCTAGTCTAGATCAACATGTTCATTTATTAAAAAAACACTCATTATTTGATTTCTATTTCTGATGCGATATCCATGAAAAATATAATTGAAACATACAATTTTGAATCAACAAAAATGGCATACTACTCTAAATAGAAATTAAGTAGATTTCGACCCTCTGACATTCCATAACATAAAATTAAATAAAATCATTGCTCATTAACCAGCTTAATGAATACGGTTGTTGACCAAAATCCACGTGTTCAATACACTTTTAAATATTTGTAAACAAATTATTAAATCCACATTATGTTATATCAGGTATTCAATTTGTGAATGAGATTTAGAGAGTCAAAACGATGAACTACATTCAATTCTCTCAATGGAATTACTTGTAAAANACCAGTGCCGGCTGCTGCTCACGCAATTTTCGGTACATTTCGTCGACTTTCTCACAAAAAATCTGCTGTGATAGTTTGGCCCGGTTTTTTGCCTTTGGAAAGTGCCCGGGTGGCTCATCGGTGTCCAACCATTATCCTGAAAGTCTTCTG